ATCTCTCTGTTTCGCTCTCGTCTCTTCTGTTCATCATAACGGGTTCGGTTCTCTCTCTCTCTCTGTCTCTCTCTCTGTCTCTCTCTCTGTCTCTCTCTCTCTGTCTCTCTCTCTGGCTATCTCTCTGGCTATCTCTCTGGCTATCTCTCTCTCTTTCTCTCTCTCTTTCTCTCTCTCTCTCTCTGTCTCTCTCGCTCTCTGTCCGAATGGTGTACGAAAGTGAGGAAAGCTGTCGCTGTTCTTCACCTGTTGGAGCGTGAGATCCGGCGGCGATCCACATGAGGACTTATTGGTATTTTTCGCTTCAGGGATCTCCTCCAGCGTGGCCCCGCCCCAAACGGTATAAGCTCTATATTCCCGAATGGTACCCCGATATGTGAGGGGATGAAGTGTACGTAAATTAAAGTGTGAAATGAGAGAAGAGGGGACAAAAATGAGGAAGAGAAGATTGTGCGCGGCCCGTAGTCCATTTCTAGTATTCACCATATTGCTGTAGCATTCACCTGGTGTTTGTACGATAAACAAGAGAAAACTGCCCACTAAAAATATTTATAAATCTGAAGTTTTATAAAAAAAGTTTTTATATAAAACTACAGTTTTATTCGGATTTAGATGTATTATCACATTTCACCTTGAAAAGAACAGGACTGTTGTCGTTTACATGATATTAAAAAATACTTCCATTTAATTTTCCTCCTCAACCTACAAATTAAGAAAAGAGGAAAGAGTATAAAGAGTGCCTCCCAGTGCATTGAGAGGTTTGATTTTTATTTCTGATTTATTTTCGTCAAAAAGCAGTAAAGGCCTTGTGACCCGTGGGAAAAAAGTATAATCTACGCATGTTACCCAATATTTTGTCCTAGTTAGAAATACTACTACCGTCTCATGTTTAGTTCTGCAGAATATTGAGAACAAGTACAGTCACAGCTCCGCCACATTACATTCAGTACCTATTTTATTACTCCAATACTCAGCGGCGAATTTCCATAGTACTCGTATTTCTGGTAGTTCCGGAACGGATACCGCTGACGAATAACTTTTGTTTGAAATGTGCCACTGAATAGTGAAGTAATAAAATCTGTAATGGATGTGAAGTGGCGAAGCTGTGGTCTCTTGTTCACAGAAACATGAAGTGGTCCAGCTACCTCTGGATGAGATAAGGGTTTGGGGTAACCTCTCGCTTCACTGGGCGGATAGTAGACCCTCTATCTCAGTGCTCTTCAACCCACGATCCGTTGTTTAATTTTTCGCGTCCCTCAAACAAATATTCATTTTATCAACAATGCGACTCCTTGCTTAAGTGGGATGCTCTGAAAGCTAACACTACTTTTGACTTAATATAATAATAGTATTGTTTGACTATTTTACTATTTATTTTTAGGATTGGCGTATGGAAATTGTCACCCAAAAAACAGTTACCAGAATACTGTGAATACGATTCGATACTAGTGATAGTCGTGGCGTGTACTTTCAACAGGTAAGTGGAAGATGAACCGGTCGTAGATGAACCAGAATGATTTAGTCAGTCTAGTCTGTATGCTTCAGCTTGTTACAGTTTTACAAAAAGAGAGAGAGTTAGTTTTCGTATTCATAAGTTATACTTAATTTTGTTATGAATAATCAATAAAGTCCACTAGTATTTCACCAACACCTACGTGACATTTTAATTAAAAAAAGGTCTTAAGTCCCCTGCTGTTGATTCTATGATGCCAAGTCCGTACACTCTCAGGCCGGAGGCGGACGAAGATGCGTGGGAGTGGTCGCGCGCGGCGGCGCGCGCGCACGTCCCGCGCCACATCGTCACGTCCCAGGCACCTCCCCTTCCCCTCCCCCTCCCTCCCCTCTCCCCCCTCCAGCCTCGCTCCACACGCCGCAGCATCCGCCGCCCGATGCGCCGCGGATCCGCCCCATTGTACACGCGCGTGCGTCGACGCCCTCCCCCCCCCCGCCCAATCCGTACAACCACCCCACCTCGGGCGGGACTGGAGGGATGCACGTCCCCGTCACAGACAGGACTGACCACAAAAATAAATCAGTTCAGTTAATTGCTTGTGCCAACGTTTAGAGATGGGAGTCCCCGAGTTCGGGAAAACACTAAGCTTCGTCTGGTTGTCGCCCGCACGACGCCAGTTGGTAGAACGTGTGGCAACTAGCGGATCGATATCGATATCGATGTTTTCAAAACGTCGATAGAATATCGATGTTTCAAAAACATCATATTTTTTCTAGAAACATCGATTTTTTGTTATCGATGTTTTTCTTTTCCGATGTTTTGTTTCTAAATGCCCATGATCACCATACTGTGAATGTTAAAATATGAAATACAACAAACGGTAACTCTTAGTTGTGTGTTTTGAACCAAAAGAATGCTGGTTGTTCTATGTTCATCGACCAAATTCTTCGCCCGAGTTGACTTTCAATGCTCTTGTATTTCCGCTTTCTTCATATCCATTTCGCTCATTGAAAAGGGGTTAACGAATGCGCTGTGGGCGTAGGGTCCGCCTCTGCTGTCGTCGAATTATATCACGAACACGCAAATTAAATTTTGTTTCACAAGAATTTAATGCTAGAAGTTACTAAACCAGCTTGAAAAAACAGTGAAGTTGAAACACATCGATGGTTTTTAGTCGATGTATTATTAACATCGATGTTTGCTAACATCGCTATTTGTAATCGATGACCACCACTAGTGCAACCATGTTGAATCCAGTGGCGACTTTAGGTATGGGCAGACCGGCGATCGCCCGGGACCCGAAAGTCAAGGGCTGATGTTGGGACTGATGGAAAAAAGTTGGAACTAAAATTTTGGAAAATAAATTGGACTAAAGAAAATCGTTATCGTAATTTTATAAGTCGCAGTACATTAGTCAGATATTACATAAAATTTTCAATTTAATTTATTTGCTTTAAAGTAATGTATAGAATACTTATAACTATATTGAAATTAATCAAATGACGCTAGCATTAAAGTAGTTCTAGTGAAACTCATATTTATTATTTCAGGTATATTAACAACTAATTTTATTAAACACTAAATAAAAACACGACAATTCTTTAGCGTTTCAAGAATCGCCATGAATTATTGTATTATTTTTACTAATCTATAATTGTACAATTGTAAATGTGATCACTAAATACTTATTCTTAAAACTATTATTTAAAATATTTTCCCAAAAATTTTTCTAGTTTAAACATGGGTAATTTTTGTATTTGTTGAAATAAAATAGCTCATTTAGTTTCTTGATACAATTTTTTTGGGGGAGGGGGTGGGTGCGGGGGTAACGTTTCCCATGCCGTCGATCAAAATTGTCTAGCTCCATCATGGTGTACCTATTGTAATTTAACGCAATTGGCCATTCGAATGTTATAATGATTCGCAGACAGCCATAATTAGAAAATTTTATATATATAATTTCTCTATTATGGATATCTAAAGTCATATACCTACATCGATTCCTCTTCTCAGTGCAGCACTCTATGAAGAATGGGTCGCCATTCCCCAAGAAACCTTCCAGCACCTGCTTGAAAGTATGCTTGCGAGAGCGGAAGCAGTTATCAAGGCTAAGTGATGGGCCAACACTTTATTAAATTCCAGCACTGCCGTTGGATGGCGCCACGAACTGGTAAGTCATTTTCAGCCAGGTGTTCGGATACTTTTGATCACAGAGTGTACATTTCTTTCATTTGCGCGCTATACATACATTTGAAAAATCACGCTTAACCTACTTTGGGTTTGAAATTTCGTCCGTTGAGGGCACACGATTCACTTCAGACCACTGCGCAATATTTACGTAGTACATTGGGAGGTTTACTAAGCGGATAAAACGTATCATATTCGTGTCGTAACATCACTTTACAACACTCGATTCCTCGGTTGCTACACGGCCCTCTTGATAATTCTCCAAAATTGAATTGTAAAAATATGTACACAAAATATGTATTATTTCGTAAATAACTACTTATTTACTATCGAATACAGTAATTGTTTACGTTACCAAGAACAAAAGTTTTGCAGCGCTAAACGAGTAATGCATAATTTATACTTTTTCGATATTAGAGACTTATCAGTTATAGTATTTCCGTCAATCTCGCTATGTCGAGGATTTCAATCATGATAATATTTTATGATAGAAATTAAAAGACTTTTCTCTGCTGGTAAAGTATCAGTATTCTCTAAAAAAATCCGCCAACAATATGATTGGTTTAATATGGATAATAATTATTCGGCAAATCATTTTTAAATGATCGTTAATTAAAATTTATGTAGTACTTATGAAGATTTTAGTGATGAAATTGAAATATGGCTGTCAGTAAATGTGATTCACATATCTCATAATCATCTCACATGCGCAGGGTACAAGTATAATGAAAGCCACAGTAGAATATGGATAGCCTTGGCATAATTGACTCTGCAATTTTCATATATTCTCGATTATGAATGAAAGCTATCCTCGCTAATTAAAACATTTAATTTCACTTGTATCCTTCCTACTTCCTACAGACCACAGTTATTAAGAAATTGAGAGAATCAGCAAAAAAACAGAAATTACAAATGCTTTATTACATATATTTACAGTATATTAAACGACACAATCATATCCATACTCACCTCCTGTGAGTCCTTAATAACGAATCTGATTAAACTTGACGTGGAGACGAACATGAAGCAAATGTACTAAATGCTTAGTTGGCGATTTACCAACATCCTCTGATTTCAACCTTGCCCTTGTCTTGTCTTTGTCCTCCACATTGCCCTTGCCTTATTTTTTCGCTTTATAGACTTACCTCCGGCACGTGCTAATGCTTTTTATTTCATCTGCCTTTTGTTCTCTCGTTTTATTGAGCAATCAACTTTCATGTCAGGTACTCCGAAACATTCCCACCTATGCTTTGAGATGCAGGGAAACTTTTTCTGATACCTCTTTGTCCTCTTGTTAAGGCGCTGCTTTCTGGAATATCTGGGTTTGTTAATATTCATTGTCAGTTGATTAATGCAATTAAAAATAAGCATGCATTGTGAGATCTTGAAAAGAAAACATCGTAAATAATTCATATGACGATTATCTTGTTATAATGATATATCATTTATTATGTGATATCATTTACAAATGATGGAACTGTGTAAAAATCTCGAATAGTTTTATTTCTAGTCTTTTTCATTTAAATTACAAATTCTACACTAATGTAAAAACTAAATAATGTAATTATTGATAGTTTCGTTATTATTTATGTTTCAGAGGATGTCATAAATTCTCAATTGTATTACCTCAGAGATCATAATTTTTGCCGATGTCCAATACAATGAGTTTGTAACGATATTGAGAATTATTTCGCAATCCGCACACAAACATTAAAACCACACTTGTTAGCATTGTGTGTACTGTGTGGTATGTTCTTAGAACACTTGGGACATTCAAAAATACATTTCGTTTTTCTTTACATACTACGCTCGGGAAAGATGAACGTTTTACCCAATGTTGAAAACCCCATCGAAACAAAACTCCGTAAATGTCCCACTGCTGTGTAGGAATTACTTCCCATGGGTACATTAAACTAAGAGAAAATACAATAAGGATCATTCCATAAAGAAATCAATATACGCACAGACAGTCCGGAAATCATGCTGTGCCCTTAGCCAAAAACCGCGTAAAATTAGGAAATTAAGCGTTCTAACTTCTGAAAACTAAACCCCGACCAAAGGACTCTTATAAGGTATATCTGCCTTAATGAAGAAAATGGTACCTTCTTGAGCCTTCTTATATTTTTGGAGGTTATTTTTTTCTGAGTATCCCCCCATCGTTTCACGATAAGGTTGGTCAGAAACATATAAAAACTGGAAATTTATATAAAATTGTATTAACAATTTAAAATAATCTTTAGCCAAGTAAAATATCGAGACCTTATTCTTTATTTAATGCCAAAGAACAACTGCTTGTCATGTTTGAGATGCAGAAAAGCTATATTGTGTATTGAACCTGTGAGCTACGCAAGAGCCATAATCATTCAGACGATTTTCTCCAAAATGTTACTCATAACTCTAAAGGAACTCAATGCCCTTCAAATATGGAAGACATATTTGAATTTTTGAGGCACTTTACACAAAGCCTTAACATTTTCAAAAATTTCTCAAAAATGGATTTTTTGATTAATTTTTTCCATGGATAGATCAAAAGACTTTTAAAGTGGTGTAGGTCGCGTTTTAGTTAATTTATCTGAATTGTTTAAAAATACAAAGTTCAACATTTTTCGGCATTTTTCTGCAATCACAATATTGAAGAAAGAAAGAACAATGATATACTTGTTTATGTTTTGGAAATGCATGTACAATTCAGGGATTACGTGTTTAATTTGCTCAACTTTACAACGTATTAACCAAAGAAAACTGCTACGATCCACAAGGCTTACTCCTGAAGAGGTTATCTTAAAAAAAATGGGATTTTCTCAACGAATTCTAAATTACGGACAGAAAGCAATGAT